TCAATCTTTTGACAGTGTCTTAATATCACTCCTTTGAATTCTTTTTCAGGTAGTTCTATTACATTTTCTTCCTCAGAAACGTACTCTGGCTCTGCATCTTTGTTATTTGCTTGAGCCATTTTTCTCGTTTCTTCGTGTGAGCTAAAGTTGTCTGTTGTCTCTGGGACACTGTTGTTGTTGTTGTTAAGTGCCGTCAAGTCGATTCCGAACCATAGCAACCCTATATAGGGTTTCCAAGGAGCAGCTAGTGAGCTTGAACCACTGACCTTGCAGTTCAAATGACTTTGTAGTCTGACGCATTAGCCCACAGCACCACACCATGACTCCTGTAGGCTGTTGTATTTAAATGATGACTGTATGTTAGTGTGTCCTTAAGCTCTCACCGACTGTCTCCTATGGGTTTAGTTAGAAAATGAAGTGTGTGCACCATTCTGTTCACTATTTGTGCACCTCAGTTCAGGGTGGGTATGACTGGTGTTGGTTGATGTCAATCACTAATCAGGTGGTATAGGAGCTGGTATGGGTTCCTGCACAGTGGGTGGAGCTGCAGAGGGGACGGTTGTTACAGGGCTGTATGTGCACAGTTGTTACCTGTGTGGATCTGTTCTGATAGGCCACTTCTGTTGCCAATGCTGCCCACAAAATTTCAAGATGGTTACATCAGGTCTGGCTTGTCATTCACTAATTATTCCTCTCTCACCATTCCTGCTCATCTTCTCCTCCCAGTAAGTACTCTGCTTACTTCCCTAACCTTTCAGGGTGCCAGAACTTTCATCTGTCTGTTCCATTAGATCTCCCATAGCTTTGTTGCAGAGGGTCCATTGCCTAGTCCACCATATTGCTGGAAGTACAAGGCTCAACTCTCGATAAAAGAACCTCAGATATTCCTTGTGTTTTCCTCTATACTGGTTAGCATTTTCTATAAGGAGTTTGTATTCATTGTGTAAAAATAACAACAAAAGCCCAACAGTAACCTAGGAGGCAGGCTTTCAGAACGTGCCCTTTGGTTGTTTATATGATTATACATTCCTGAGGGGTTTTGTGTATATCCCCTCAAAAACAAAACAAAACAAAACAAAAAAACAGAGGGAATAAAAGCAAATACTGTTGAATGATGATGCATGGAGGGGATTGTAATCATTAAAATGAAACAAAATATAATGAGTATAAAACCGCCAGTATGAGTGGGAGAGTGACAGAGGATTCAAGTCATTTCCAGATGGAGAGATGAGCAGTGTGAACCGACCACGCTTGGAGCTCCCAACTGAGGCAGTCACAGTCCAGAGGACCCCTGGGAAGATCCCCTACCCACCTACCCTCACCCCAGCTAGAGAACTAGGGCAGATTCTCACCTCTTCGAATCCCCTTCCTAAAGAGACCATTAATTAAAAAGTCAATCCAAACTATTAACTTGATATGCAGGTTAATGGTAACCAGAACGCCAGAGTCCCTGGACCACAAACTGGCATTTTGCTGTAATCATCAAGTTTTAATAATGCTCCTTTACTTCCTGTGTTTTAAAATTCACATCTTTGAATATTAATATTTCTGCATTAACAACCCTGATTTTCAGCAATTTCATATTTAACTGCTTATTTAAATGAAATTAATTTGTAACCAATTGTCTTCAAATATGCAAAGCAATTTAAGTAAATGTCAGAAGATAAGAAATATGCTTATCCTAGATAATCAGCTAAAGTGAACGATCAACCATATTTCTCAAACGACTGCATGAGACAGGCTCCCAACTCACAGCCCCAGCCCTGGGCTCCTGGACAGATTCCACCTGTTTTGGAGGGAACTATTTGCTGTCCTTATGGTGCCATGGATTAGGCACCATCTGACCCCATCCTACCACCAGACCCCGCATCCACCCCAACACTTCCCAATCAGGTCTCACACAGAAACACCAAACTCCGTACCATAATCCCACCCCTAAGTCCTCAGGGAGGGGCCTCAGGCCATGAGGGGTCCTGCTTGCCTCCAGGCCTAGCATCTCTGCCTCCCTGCTCCTCTGCCCCCATCCCCACCTGCCCCGCCACCATGCTGAGGGAGGCCAGAAGGTTCAGCCCAAACACACAGGCAGACAACCCCAAGAAACCATATTTGAAGAGAAGGTCACACACTGGCTGGCAGCTGGACCAGGACCCTAGGATGGGTGCACAGATGAGGCCACTCATGTGCTCCCTCTTTCTCTAGGTCAAGGTATCCTGGGGCGGCTCCTAAAGGACAAGCACGAGAAGCCAAAGCCAAACCTGAATGGCTTTTGCTAAAGCGGGCGGTCAAGCAAAGATGCAGCTGGGAAGTGTTTCTGGAGAAGTTCAAGACAGCTTTTCAAAAACACAAAACCACCTTCAGGCAGTAAGGACTGTCGTTAGAGCAGGAAAAGCGGCCGGAGCAGGTGAGCGCTAGAAAGTAGGACGACAGCAAGATTCATCTTGCTTAGGAAACAGGCTATTATTATCCCCAGCCAACAGCTGGAGACGCTCCCAGCAGGCAGGTGAATGTGGTCGGCTGAGCCACGATGGCCCCAGAGGACAAGGTATCTCCCCAGCCTGACACCTAGTGCAGGAGGTGGTGGCATCTCGAGACTGCGACTAAAGTGGGTTGGAGGCACCCAGAAGCTAAGAATCCAACCATGACTGCAAATGGCCTCCACAGGGAAGGAGCTGAGGCTGGCTAAAGGCAGAAGTACCTAAGGTCTCAAGGTCGGGCACAGTGGCCCCATTGCAGCAACCCACCAGCTGGAGCTCAGGAACGGTGACTCAGTGGCATGGGCTCCAGAGTGAAGTCTGAGGGAGCAAGCTCTCCAGGGACAAGGAGGCCAGGGGTCCCACAAACAGAGAGACATGCTCACCTGCAGCATGTAGGCCAATCAGAAACCTTAGCAGGCAGCCTGACACTGGGGTGTGGGAACTCAACGCCCCAGCTCACACAAAGGGGCATCTCTCAACTCAGAGGCCTGGTGAGCACGTCTGAGACACCCCCTTGCTGGACTGGACCATCCATCGGTTTGGAAGGTTCTAGTCCAGTGACTGGGGAGATTGCTGAAATGAAACGCAATCTCAGGCTCAACAAAAGAACCCTCCAAATGCCTAGCAGAGTGGGGCGCTGCCAAGGGCAGGCTCCTCTGAGCTCCTGGCAGGGATCTTGGGGTCTCAGGAAAGCAACAGAGGACAGATTCTAGAATCTGTCTGCTGGAGGAAGAAGTTAGAGTTCACAGGGGTGAATCCTCCAAGTGAGGTGGGAGGAGGCCTTCTCTTCCTGCTGCCCCAAAGGTGGCAATCATGATGTGCCCGAGGGCCCACTACAAAGCTGACAGGAGAGCTGTGTTTACAGTGACCCTCTCCACCCTGGTCTGGGGAGTGCTGAGAAAGCACTCACCATAGCAGAGACCTCTGGGGGTGGAACCCCCCACCAAGAAGCCCCTAGCTCTCTGAGGTTACCAGAGAGCCTGGAGTCCGCCTGATCCCACTGCACAGATGCTGGGACCTGTGCATGGACCTGTTCAGAAGCAACTGCGGACGCAGCGCCAGCCGGGGCCAGACTCTGGGTGAGTGTGTGGAGGCAACCAACGACACAGCACCAGGTCTGGGTGAGTGTGACCTCATTTAGTCCTCAGAGCACAGCCCATCAGCACGATGGCACACACGGGGTACTGAGGCTTGCAGGGACCACCAGAGCTCCCCACTCCAGCTGGGCTGCAGAGATGCACCCGGATGTTGGTGGAGGAGTTGAGGAGAAGAACGGGAGGTGAACAGGGACACTTGGCAGTGCTAGAGGGCCGTGGAGAGGTCAGGCCCAGAACCGGGAGCAGCCAGCTGTGGCCCTCACCTGGGAAGACACAGTGACCTCATGGCCAGCATTTTAAGGAGCTGGTCCAGTCATCACAGGTGCAAGAGGCAGGGGTGCCCACCTGGGAAACTCGGGGGACAACGCAGAGATTTGCGTGAGGAAGCAAAGGAGTCAACCTGAGTCTTCCTCCTCCCCACCCCACCACTTCTATCAGGGGGAGAGTGATGCATATGTATGAACTCATAATCCTTCCTAATCATCCCTACATCACACATACACCCCCCCTTCCAAGGCTCCGGCTCATACATAACCATAAGGCTCTGCCTCTGCTGGCACCTCAGTCCACCAAAGAAAACATCAGCAAGAGTGGCCTGGTGGTGGGTGAGTGGCAGGTACCCAGGTGCCTCCCCTTAAGTGACAGATGTCTGTAGCTGTCAAACCCCGAGACCAGTCACTGGCCAGCCGGAGACCTGGGTGGAGCCAGCACTCTGCAGGGGTAAAGGGGTGAGGGGCAGAATAAGGGTGAGCATCTGCCCCCTTCCTGGAGAGGCCTAGTCAGGAGAACTCCTTCCCATATAGGGTTTGCGGGCTCAGCCTGGAGCTGTGTGGAGAAGTGAGCGCCTGCCTAGGACTACAGGGAAGGTGCTGAGAGCCAGACTGGGAGAAGTTAGGGATTAGGATGAAGGAGAGTCAAAGGCGTGTCGGGAGGGTGCTGAACTCATAAACCTCAACAGGGGTGTGTTACATACAAAGACCACCGAGCTCAGAGCAGAGAAAACAGCTACCCACCCACACCCAGCCAGCTAAGGCTCCCCAAAGGCTTTCACAGCCGAGAGGAAGAAGAGAGGTGCCCCTTCCTTAGAGGAAAATCTATAGTTACTTAAAGCCTTTAAAAAAAAATCCTCAAAAATCTCTGTAAACCTTCACTCAATTCACAATTGTTGATGCTGTTTGAGCTTTAACTGCCAACTTTGTGGTTCAAACCGACCTTGCAGTCCAGTGCAAGAACTCCCATATCTATGTATCTGTGTGTGTGTGTACACATACACACACACATATCTATATGTATATATACAGGTATCTCTAACTGCTTTGAGCCTCATCCTGGGTGTTTGGTTCACAGCCAGCTTGTAGACTGGGGAAGGCCTGCTGGTGATGGGGGAGCGCGTAGGGTGGAGAGACAGCTGGGGGACCCTCGGACTCACTTGCTGATGCCTTCGAAGGAGGCCTCTCTGCAGACACTGCCGCTGTCCGTGTTGATGCCACGCTGCAGGGAGAGACAGACCATGAGCTGAGCCCACAGGAGGAGGCGGCGGCCTCACCCCCCAAGGAGGGCCCACTCCCCCCCACCAGCTGAGCCCTTTCGATCTTGTCACATTTTGGAAAGCGGAGGAAGCTGCGGCATCACAAACAGCATTCCGGGGTACCACCAGTCTCTTGCTGGACAGCCGGGGTACACACTGGTACCAGGTCAGGCTGCTCAGACACAGGTGGGGCCTAGGTGAGAAGACCTGTAGCCTGGGGGACAGCCCACCCCTCAAATCTGCTTTCTCAAGACAGTCCTTGCACCAACATTCAATGCCAGTTGACATGCAGTTGATTCCAACTCATGGTGGCCCAGTGTGTCAGAGCAGACATCTGTGCTCCACAGGGTTTTCAGAGATCACCAGGCTTTTCTTCCAAGGCACCTCAGTAGTCTTGAACCACTGAGGATCTGAAGAGGACTGTCAAAGCCAGTCCTTCCAGAGATGCAGGGTGGATGTTTCTCATAAAGCCCTATCACATCCTCTCCTTTTCCTGATTGCAATGGGACTGTAAAAGGACCCCACGGGGAGACAAAGCAAAGGTGTCAGGAAAATGTGCCTCTCTCAGAGTGGCAGGGCATTTGCAAGCACTACTTGATTCCTCAAGAGCTTCAGGTCCGGGTCTACCTGTATAGCCAAAGAAACCAACCATGGCCTCTCTCTAACCACAGCATTTAGCAGAGCTTGCCTTCTTAGCCATCAACATAGCTTTGTGGGGAAAGGAGACTACACAAAGTGCTGAAAAAGGTAACCAAGAGAAACTATTTCTGTCCAAATCAATTAACAAGGGAGAAAGGGTCACTTTGTAGGGTGGGGAAGAGAAACATTCTGGACTCTTCATAAGTGAAACTCCCAAGGTCAAAGAAGGACAAGAACGCCTGCTCCTGTGAGACATTTCTCAGACCAGGTGCCCCCCACTTCCCTGACAGACTCCAGGAGCCCACCATGGAGGCCCACCCACCAGGCTGCAGGGCAGGAAGGGCCCTCTATCAGTCAGAGGTTCAAAACAGTGTCTCGTAGCCCACCTACTACAAGGGCAGGTGCCTCGAGGCGGGGGGTGGGGGTGGCGGGAGAGGGGCTTCTAACTGTATTATTAAACAGCAGAGGCAATACTGGCTGGAAGGAAATGGAACATTCTACATCCCCAACAAATCCATCTTCCAGCCGGGCTTGGAGTCCTTGGATTGGGTGTGGTATCTGTCACAGCGGGTTCGAGACAGAACACAGCCCATCCCAGGGAGAACCCAAGAATTCAGAACACAACCCTGGGCTTGTACGGCCATTCTGACCGAGAAGCTGTTAGTGGCCAGAAGGGGAACACATAAAACTCCTCTACAGCTTCATCCTCCCCTAGGCCCCGACTCATGCATGCTCCGATACTGCCCAGTCCCTGGACATGGCCACTTACCAGAGTGAGGAGGACAGAGGGGTTCTTTGATGCAAGGACACTGGCAATCTGAAATTTCAGAAAGAAAAAACCCACTTTAGAGACTCCACAAAGAAGCCTGGCTGAGCCAACTTAATGAAGACAGTTCACAGTTACTGAGCAAACCTGTAAAACAGGCAATGCTGCCATCCCCATGCTGCAGATAGGGAGACGGAGGCTTACAGAGGTGAAGAGACTTCTGAAAGTTACCCAACTATCAAATGACAGCACAGGGTTCATGCCCAAAACTTGCCACAGTCCAACAACCCTGCCGCCACATACCAGGAAAATTCCAAAGTTCCAAACTTCAAGACTTTCCTACCCTGTAAGACCAGCTCTTCTTGAGAGAGCTTCCCGCCTGCAGTGCCTTAGGCAGTGCTCCCCATCCTCACCACCCCCAGCCTCCCATACACTGAACAGACGCCTCAACAGAGTCCTCCCTGCCTTCCCTTCCTGACCACCCGCCTCCTCACCATTCTCCATCGTTTTGCCCTGACATCTCACCCGCCTGCTCTGAAACTTGGTGACTGCTCAGTTCCCCATGCATCTCTCCATGCCTCAGTGCCTGCTCTTTCTCTCCCAGGATGGCTTCTCCCCATCACTGCTCCATACTCAGGGTTCAGTCCCCCAAGTCCTCTACCCAATGGCAGTGCGAATTATCTCTGCAGAAGTGTCCCCCAACACCTGCCCCCACTCCAAATGTGGCCAGTCTCCCTGGTAATCATTTCCTCTTCTCTGGATCCCTGTCTGAAGGCCCTATCCAATCTAAGGAATTGTGCCCCCCTCCCTCAGAGACCAGTCTTCCCTCTGCAGGCCTCCCATACCCACACCCCAGACTCCTAACACCTTCAACACAGAGAGAGAGTAGGGAGGTTAAGTTGTTGCTTTCAAAGACTTACTGAGGTCTAACTGTCATACACAAACTGTACACATTTTAAATGTGCACTAGGGCAAGTTTTGACATATGTACATACTCCCTGAGAAATCTTACAATATACTGAAAATTATAAAACCGTAAGTTGCTCCGTTTTTAATGGATTTGATGTTTTTGTTAAGTGCTGTCGAGCCATTTCTGACCCATAGCAACCCTATATAGGGTTTCCAAGGAGCTGATGGTGAGCTTGAACCACTGACCTTGTGATTCAAATGACTCTGCAGTCCAGTGCATTAGCCCACAGAGCCACACCAGGACTCCAATGGGTAGTCATATGCATATCTGAACACTAGACAAGTAGTCCCCAACCTAATGACCTATCAGGGCAAGTCAAAAGTATTGCTACAAAAAAAAACACAGGAACCTCTATTAAACTAAAATATCAAAATGTCAAGCGACTGTTTTTCAGAATATCATCCATCTAGGCTGACATACCTCTGAAGGTGGTGTTCCCATTTCTTTAACCCTACCCCCAAAGAATTCTTCATTCTTCCATTTACACTCCATCAAAATGGCAGTGTCAGTTTAGGCATCCTCGAGAAACTGAAATCATGTTCCTTTTAAATGTTCTTAGGAGCTGGGGTGTGGCACTGTAGGATCAGCACTGGACTGGGAACCACATGGTCGACAGTTCAAATCCACCAGCTGTTCATCGGAAACGCTATACAGTGTTGCTATGAGTTGGAACTGAATCAACGGCTCTGAACAACAACAGCAGGAGTTTGGGGAACAAAAAGAAGTCTGAGAGGGCAAGAACAGGGCTATAAAGGTAAGGTTCCCCCCAAAAAAATTATCAAAGGATAGCACTCCGGCTACCCTCAAAGAATGAGCAGGTGCGTTGTTGCAGTGGCGAAAAATACTCATCACAACTCTCCTGGTCTCTTTGTCACTAGTGCAACGGTCAGTTTTCTTGAAACTTCTTCATAATCAGCCCCTGCGATTGGCCTGTGTCCTTCAGTAAGATGGCCCCTTTAGAATCCCAAAACACAGTAGCCATAACCTTTTGAGTTGACCTTTGCCTTGAATTTAACTGGCCCAGCAGATCCCCTTGGAAGTCACTGTTTTCTTTGAACCACACTGGTAAATTCAAGACTCATCTGGGGTTATGATCTGTTTCATAAAGTAATCTTCATTAGCTTTAAATCTTGCTTAAAAGACTTCTGGAAAGCTCAGCTCTTTGAGGTCGCCGAAAGCTTGCTGAGGACAAGATGTTCGCTTACAGCTCTTTGAGGTCGCCGAAAGCTTGCTGAGGACAAGATGTTCGCTTACAGTTGAACGTGCTGTGTGAGATTCCAACTACAATGGTTATGGCAACAACTGTAATCCTACGGTCTTCTTCCAGCAGTTTCTGGGCTTCAGCCACAGCTTCTTCATTTAGCAAGGTTGATGTGACTGACAGCCTTCCTTCCCTCTCTTGGCTCATCTTGAGGTCTTCCCAATCTTCCTTAAAAACAGCTGCTTCATAAAAACTGCTTGTTAAGTTCAATGATCTGGGACGATGTCTACTTGAATTTTATTGAAAATTTTGATATTAGCCCTGACCTGAAAACTTTCTCCCCGTGACACAAAAAGTGTCTTTTTTTTTTTTTTTTTTTAACGGCTCCCTAGGAGTCCCGGTGTGGTGCTGTGGGCTAATGCGTCAAGACTGCAAAGTCGTTTGAACTGCAAGGTCGATGGTTCAAGCTCACCAGCTGCTCCTTGGAAAATCTATACAGGGTCACTATGGGTCAGAATTGACTCGACGGCGCTTAACAACAACAACAACAACAATGAGACCAAGGCATCTGACAGAATTTGTCTGCAGTCATCTACATATAGCAAAGAGATGTTTTAAAATGTTTTGTTTGGAATAAACCCATGAATTTATGAACTAGAATGTAGTAACAATACTTTCTGGCTTATCTTCATAGCCGAGTTATGACAAACTATACTTATAACCGTCTGTTGGTTTTTTTGGCTGTAGCATGTAATTTACTAATTGAAAGGCTAGAGGCTCAAACCAACCAGTTCCTTGGAAACCTTATACAGGATTGCTATGAGTTGGAACCAACACAATGGCACTTAACAACATCATCTTTCGATGTTCGCATGCAAATGAACAAATGTTCATCTTTCTCAATGTTATGATCTGCTATTCAAAACACTGCCATATTAGCAGGCTGCAACAATAATAATCAAACAAAAAGAGAGGTATTCAATTTACATCAGAGCTGATTTCCCACGGAGTCATCAGAACAGAACCCCTAGGTTAAGTCGGGGTTCCTGGTTTGGTGCTGTAGGTTAAACAATGCAGTTGCAGTTAAACTGCAAACCCACCAGATGCTCCTGGGAAACCCTACGCTGGGTCACTGTGAGTCAGAACTGATTCAACAGCACTTAACAACAACCACTGCCTGCATTTATCAGCACTGATATTTCTAGAATTAGGTCTGTTACGGAGATCTGTAATGATATTTGGACCATGGCTTAGTTCTCCAGAGCTGCTATAACAGAAATACCACAAGTGGGCGGTGTTAACAACCATTAATTGATTCTCTCATTGTTTAGGAAGCTAGAAGTTCAAATTCAGAGCGCCACATTCCACTCCTGGCTCTTCTATCTTGGGGAGAGTAGGTCTTTCTTTCTCTGTTCATTTTTCTCTTTTATTTATTTTTTTAAGATAAAAGGTGTTACATAACAAACCCTTGGTAATCACCCCTAAATTGGATCAGGATAGTGGTGAGATTAAAGGTGTTGATCCTGTATAGGGTTTCCAAGTGACTGATGGATTTAAACCATGAACTTGTAGTTAGCAGTCTAGTACTTATCCTACACACCACCACACCAAGACTCCAGAACGTCACTTAGGCCACACTAGGATTTGAACCCAGAATCTCCTATTTACAAGACAGGCGCTTTAGCAAACTACGCCATGGAGCCAACCAAAGGAGGTGGTGGTGATGGATGTTGTTAGTTGGCATCAAATCAGTTCCGATTCATAGCGCCCCTGCATAGGGTTCCCGAGGAGTGGCTGGTGAGCTCGAACTGCTGACCTTTCGCTTCAAGCCGACCTTGCAGTCTAGTGCATTAACCCACAGCATCACACCAGGACTCCAAAGGTGGTATATCCCACCTTAATCCTCTTATTGGTTTATTACATCAAATCACACAGCATGGGAGGTAGTTACATTCCAACTGCCAAACCACTAGGAATCCTGGCCCAGTCAAGCTGACACAAAGCCTGACCAATAACAGACCATGTGAAGTTTTAGGCTTCATTTATTTCCTCCCCTTAAATACAAGTATCCCTGCTTTTCAAAAATTCGCTTTATGCCACTTAGCTTTTACAAAAGACCAACATTAGCAATTGTTTCTGCTAACTGAAAGAGTTTCACTTCTACAGGGAAAAAAGGTAAAATGCAAAACTAGCATCCAGTGTTTGTTTTGCATTGAGCTGTTAGAGGCAGCTGGCACCTGAGCTCAGAGGAAGAGGGAGGGAGGGAGGGAGGGAGGGAGGGAAAGAAAAGAGGAGAGAAGGAAGGAAACACAGGAAAGGAGGGAGGGGGAGAGAAAAGGGGGAGGAGAGAGGGAGGAAAATACAGGAAAGGAGGGAGGGGGAGAGAAAAGGGGGAGAAGAGAGAGAGAAAAGAGGAGAGAGGGAGGGAAACACAGGAAAGGAGGGAGGGGGAGAGAAAAGGGGGAGGAGAGGGAGAGAAAAGGGAAGGGGAGAAAAAGAGAGAGGGAGGGAAGACAGAGAGGAATCAGCAAGCTCTTCCCCCAGGAACTACACTCAGCATCTTCCCATGAAGCCTCCACAGCTTTGAACTGTCTGTGAACACAATGTGTCAGCATTATTTGAGGTTTTGTGTGTTATTTAGTGAGGTTTGGTAGGTTGTTTGGGGAGCCTGGAAACACTCACACATCTCCTATATAAATTAATGGTCACTGCGTCTTTGCTTTACGTACCATTTTGGCTTACGAAAGATTTCATACTTTCACACAGCAGGGAAAACCTGTATTCTTCAAAAACGACATTTTTCAGCAGTCACCACCACTGGGGATGTGGGAGAAAAATGAGGCTTTCTGATCCTGCAAAGATTTGCAGCCTCGGAAACCC